TGTTAATTTAACATGGCCAAATAAATGTTAATATAAACCTGTAACAACCATACGACTGTCTTCTTCGTTTTGCCACTTTTCTTTTCTCTTGATGGCAAAGAAAAAAGTTGCGTGAAGAAAAAAAAAGCGAGACCTCTTCGACAGCAGCAAACCATGAAAATGTTACAATGGCATAAATTTGCTGCAACAATTAAGAGGAAGTTCCATGTTTAGCAAAGGTTTTGAGGAAAAAGTCTTTTCTATGCAAATATCGTTTGACCAAACGCAATAAAAACTAAATAAAGCAAAACGTACGCTTCCGATGATATATTTTCATGTTTTATTAACTCTTCTACATCTCATTTAACTTTTCGCGTATTCCGAATTCTCTTAATAGAGAAATAACTTAAGACTGATGTGTTATTATGCAACCCACATTCGCAATGAAATAGAAATGTTATTAGCAAATTCAACTGCCTGAGTGTCTCATCTGAAGATAGCCATATGTTAATCTGCCAGCAATGCCTACAGTGTGCTGCAAATTATGGAGCGTAATCATATTTGCATTGTTTTATAGATGCCATGTAATTAGATTTTATTTTAATTTGTTTCCAATATTGTAACAAATTTTATAGCTAGGTTGTAAACTATTTTTGCTTTGTTTCTAGAGACAACCTTGAAATGGAATTTGTTCAAAGTGCTGGGTTGCTCAGTAGATATTTTGTAGCATCTCGGAAATAATGTAAATTATATTTTTCTATAGACAGCCATTCTTTGGGAGTGCTACGTTTTCTACTGCTTGTGAAAGACAATATAGAATAATTTCGAATAAAAATATTTGACCAAGAATTTTCAACAATGCAATAAGCACTTTGAATAAAATAATGAAGGAATTAATATTATCAGGTCTGTAGAGCGCAACATCAAGAGGAAGATTTCAGGATTAAGTACTCTCCATCTCACCGTACACACCTCAACTTAACAGTGGATATTTAGAAAAATGTTTTTCACTTGCCGAGAACCTGAAGTACAAAATTTGGTTAATTTGTTAAAAATGATAACTTAAAGTTAAAAAGCAGTAAGTTGAAATTCACCCACCATTTGGAACGAATTTTGTAATAAAATCCTTTAAAAATTCTGTTAAAATTTCAAAAATACCGAATATAGCCGTTATATTGGTGTCTATACGACATGGACCTACATAGGGATTGTTTGTCATAAGTCATTACCATATTCAAATTCGAAACTTGAACTAAACGGTGAATAATGTAGCTTAAATCATCAAAATATGGTATATAGGGTAGTACCGTTGTATCGGGGCTCTGCGAAGACCTGGACCAGCATAGATAATTTTCTGTCACAGGCTATAGCATCCATTACGAACTTCAAATACGACATCTCAAACAATTTCGGAGGGTATTGTACCTAAACTCGTCAGAATACCGAATATAGGGAAGTACTGATATATGGGGCCCATAAAAAGACCTGGACCAGTATAGACAGTATTTTCTGTCACATACGAACCATTACGAACTCTAAATACGTAACTTGAAACACTTCCGGTGAATAATGACGCTAAAATCATAAAAATACCGAATATCGGGAGGTACCGTTGTATGGGGGCTATATGAAAACGTGGACCTACATGGCCAATTCACAAAAATAACCTGCCTACTGGAAAAATAAACACCTGTGCAAAATTTTAGCCATCTATCTCAATTCGTTCGAAAGATAGCGTGATTACAACAGAGAGACGGACAGACAGACAGATAGACAGACAGACAGACTATCGGACATGGCTAAATCGACTTAGAATTTTACGCTTATCAAGAATATATATATACTTTGTTGGGTCTGACATGAGTATTTCCTCCATAGTATGGTGGAGGGTATAAAAGTAATATATCGCCCCACTTTTATACCCTTCCCCTTGAAAAGGAGAGTATATTTTAAATTATATCACTTCGTTTGTAACATTTCGAAATATTTGTCATTGACCCCATGAAATACATATATTCAAGATCAGCATAAAATTCTAAGTCGATTTAACGATGTCCGTCTGTATGTCTGTCCGTGTGTCTGTTGTTAATAAATTGTATTATATCCAGGATGGTTGGTATTGAAAATGAGATATGTCGGTCCACGTTTTGGTATTGCCGCCATATAACGGCACCTTCTGATATTCGGAATTTGGATGATTTTTGCCACATTTTTTCATGTATTTATCTAAAGATTTGTATTTGTAGGTCATAATGGGTTCTAGCTCCGGTGATGTATGTATGTATTGTATGTATAGGTCCACATTTTTATATAGCCCCTATATAACGGCACCTCTCGATATTCTGGGTTTTGATGATTGCTTGCCACATTTTCCACGGATTTGTCTGGGTTCAAGCTCCGGTGGCGGAACATAGTATATATAGGACTACGTTTTGGTGTAGCCCCCATATAACGGTACCTCCCTATATTAGGTGTTTTGATGATTTTTGCCACATTTTTCCATGGATTTTTCCAAATATGTATACATGTATAGGTCCACATTTTCGTATAGCCCCCACAGTATTTTGATGGATTTTGCCACATTTTTTCACGGATTTGTGTAAAAATTTGTAGTTCATAATGGGTTAAAGCTCCGGTGACAGAATATCGAATATTTAGGTCCACGTTTTCCTATAGCACACCGATATTCTGTATTTTGATTATCCTAGAAACATTTACCCACGAAATTGTTTCAAATGTGGTATTTAAGAAGATTTTGTAGATGACAATTTCTAAAGTATAAAATTGTCTACAGAGGTTCCCGTTTTGGTATGGCCCCCATCAACCACATTATTCAAACGGTATTACTGGTATTTGTAGTTTAAAGTGGAACACGTTTGAATTCAGATACGTTTTCATAAAAATATTTTTTTGTTTACCCCATGGTGGAGGGTATTAAAAGTTCGGCCCGACCGGTTTTTCTTTTTGTGTTTTTTTTTTTTTAATTCTGTAGTTATCAATTACTTTTTTAGTTAATAATTTGATATATTAAGTTATCGGTGATTAAATCACTCTTCTCAAAAATTACTCCTAATTTTCGTTATTGGGAGGTTTTGGACCCAATTTCCCATTTTTCGGGTTCCCATTGAACTTTTTAACTTTTTTGTAAAAATTATTCGATGTATAGCCGCCGAATAAGAGTACCTCCTGATATCCGGCCCCTATTTCAACCAAAACACAAAACTTAATTTTACCGTTTTCATAGTTTTTTTGTCAAGGAAAAAATTTTTAAAATCAACACAAGTAGTTCCGTGTGGATACTTTACACCCTCAAAAAGAATTGTTTATATACGTCCACGATATCGTATATCCCCCATATAACGGTACCCCCGATATTCGGCATTTTGATGATTTTACCCACATTTTTCAACGAAATTGTCTGAAAATCCACACAAGGAGTTCCTTGTGGGTACTTTATACCTCGGCAGAGAATTATCTATATAGGTCCACAATATCGTATAGCCCCCATATAACGGTACCCTCCGGTATTCGGCATTTTGATGAGTTTAGCCACATTTTTCAATGGAATTGTCTGAAATTCCACAAAAGGAGACCCTTGTGAGCATTTTACACCCTCAAAAAGAATTGTTTATATAGGTCCACGATATCGTATATCTACCATATAACGGTACCCCCGATATTCGGTATTTTGATCATTTTACCCACATTTTTGCAACGGGATGATTTGATGATGATTTTGATGTTTTTAGCCGTATTTTTCAACGGAATGGTCACAAGGGGTTCTTTGTGAGCACTTTACCCCCCAACAGAGAATTCTCTATGTAGGTTAACGATAACGTATAGCTCCCATAAACGGTACCCCGCGATATTCGGCATTTCGATGATTTTATCAACTTTTTCCAATGGAATTATCTGAAAATCCACACAAAGAGTTCCTTGTGAGTACTTTACACCTAGACATGGATTTGTCTTTATAGGTCCACAATATCGTATATTTCCCCATATATCGGCACCTCCCTATATTGGATATTTTAAAGATTTTAAAAGAATTTTTAATGGATTTTATTATTTTTTTTTTTTTTTGAAAATTTTCTAATTCGTTCCAAATGGTGGTGGGTATTCAAAGTTCGGCCCAGCCGAACTTACTGCTTTTTTACTTGTTGGCTCTACTTTCGTAATCTCTTAAGATTTTTTCTGCAATTTTGGCTTTCCCATGCCTTGATTCGTTTTCTGTCACTTCATTCAGGATAACGTTTATGTCGCATCTTAACTCGGCGGCTTTTCTTTTTGGAAAAAGTCATCAATATGGGTTCATTTTTAGTCGTGATAACCCCCCATTATTGCCGTATTATCAGAAGTGCGTTTTTTCAAATACTCATTCTATCATTTGATACGTCCCAATAAACTCATGTCTTTTTGGACAAATTCCTTTCCAGGACATTCCAGGTCGAGGTAGTGATGTCCGTCCCTCTGTCTGCCTGGCTAGTGCGCACAATTACTCTTGAAAAACGGACTTACACGGACACATACACACCCAACCATATATGCATATGTATATTTCTTGGAGGATGCCTTAAGGAAAGCAACAGAAGATGAGAAGAAAACAGGTTGACTAAAAAGAAATATGAAAATATCGCCGATTTTTTTTTTGTAGCGAATTTCGTGCAGTGCTATCAAAATCAGTTCTAATAAATTTATTCACCCTAAAAAGTTGCTACATAGATCCGGTATATTCTGTAGCCCCATATAAGCCGGATTTTGATATTTTGAAGGTTTCTGCCACAAGGTTTCTATCCAAATGACTTGATATTTCGGATTTTCAAAAGTTCCTATTTTCTATAAAGGTCGATACAGGTCGATCATTTAGTTTAATTCGCATGGAATGGTGCTACTACTAAATTTAGTCGAAAACTGGTGTATTGACCTTTCTTTGTAAATCCCAAAAATTCAAAATTCTTGTTCGATTTTAAAATAAATAAAACATCATTTGTATTCCAATACATATAAATCGTATAAACAATTTCGTCTCTCTTTATTTTCAATTTGGTTTTCTTTGCAAAACTTAACATCTAAATTCGTTATAATATAAAAAATTACGAAGATTACAATGCAACTTAAATATTAGTTCGGAAATTTTCGGAAAAAGAAAGAAGAAATTAGAATATGTATTTAAATTAAATTAAACAATTTCGAATAAAGGTTTACAATAATGTTAATATAAAAAAGAAGATATGAATACGTAAAGGTGAAAGAAGCACTTGTACTAGTCATTGTTTAATTCCAGGTGGTGGATGGGTGGCTGGTGGACGGCTTAATAGTGGCCGGCATAATGTTGATGCTGATGGCCATAGGATCCATAGTGGGGAATATACTCGTACTGGCCATTGCTGTAGTAACCATCATCGTAGTCATAGTGGATGGGTGCCGGGGCGACATATGATTTATGAACTGGAAAGAGATAAAGAAAAACAAAATCGAAACAAAAAAGAGAGAAAAAGAGAATGGGAGGAATATTCAATTAGCCAAAGTTAACAACTAAATAAAGTGGCATTACAAATGTTAAACAGGGGCTTTTTCGAAAAAAAAACATGACATGGTGGGAATTTGACTTGCCACACTCCCAAGCCATGAAATCAGGCATGAAGAACTAGTGGCGGTGGCAGTATTGTATCGTAGCTTTTTTTGTGCTATCTTATACAGAGCTCTTTGCCATGACAAAATCTGTGTGTTACAGAAGTTGTGATTACCACCCATGTAAAGCAGATGTTGGACGGATTGAAACATATAATTAAGAAACATTGAAATATGAAGGAGTATTCAGACAACAAATGAATATCTCAAAATTGTGATTTATAATTAAATTCAAAATGAAACGACACAACGGCACAAGTTTCCCGTCATTGCTTCTTGGTGAGGCAAAGTGTGTTTGTCTTTTGATTGTATCTGACTATACATTGAATGCTAGCTGTGGCAGTCTGACTGCCATAGCCGTTTTTGTGTGTTGCCGACACTATGACTAATCATTAGCGCATAATGAACATTGCTCCAGATTTTCCGTTGCACAAATCTTTTGCAGAAATATCTCACATGGTAATTATGTCACAACGATGACTTGAAAACAAAAAGCGTATCGTCTTCAATGTTGTTTTTTTTTTTTTTTTTTTTTTTTTTCTTTTTTTTTGAGGAACACCAAAGTTTTTTCGCTTTGGATTTAAGCTGTGACGTTCAGCGTTTTTTCTCTTGTTTCATTGATTTGCATAAACCCCAATAATTTAAAGTCTATCTTGGAACTAAGAAGTAGCAACAGCATCGGAATACGTAATACATGTTGCATGGGGCATGTCTGCGTTTGTTTTGTTTACTTTCAATTGAATCGTTGTTTTTTTTTCTTCTTTCTTCACAATGCAACAGTGGGAACTATTTTTTTTATTATTTTAGAATTTAATTAACCCAGTTTTCAAATATGGGAAAAATATGTACAAAATTTCATTGTGCTCACATAAAAAATATATAATTAAAAAAACTATTTAATACCTGTTGCACAACCAAGCAAAATATTGATTATGTTTTAATAGCAATTTTATGGCTACCGAGATTGTGTGAACCAAAAGTATCTGCCCAAACTTATTCATTTATAAAAAACTAGCTGGCCCGGTCCGCGTTGCCGGCCCCTACTTTTAGTTTTTAATTTATATGTTTAAGGCATTATAGAACACTGATCTGAATGATTTCAAAATAGTCAAAGATAATTGGTCTTTTACACCCCTTACCTTAAGATAGGAATTAATTTATTTTTGTCATTTAAATTGTGTGTTGGAAAACCCATAAAGTCCATATTTTTCTTCATAGTATAATTCAATAACGATCCAAAAAATAATATTCGTGATTTTTTCATGTTTCTGCCACAATTTGATATTTCGGAGATCAAAGCATGTAGACGTACATCCCACATCTACGTTCCCAGCCAATATTCTCTTGAGAGTTAAAAATTCAATAGTATACCAAATTTTTTTTTTCTGACCAAACATTGGTTAGGAAGGTGGATTTGCGGGTACACTAATGTGGGAACTATACTCAAATAAATGCCTATGTGGACAATTATCTGTAAGACGATTCTCTATCCCAGAGTAGCCTAAATACAATTTTTTAGCCAAATCAATTGATGAATGTGATCAAGACCAAGATGGACTCTACTCCAAAAGTCAAAATATTATGAGAAGAGGTTTTTTACACCCGTAGAAACAAAGATGCCAAATAAAGGCCTGAAAAATGAAAGAAAAATGTCGAAAACCCCGAATATAGCTTAAATTATATAATGGTTATACCAAAACGTGATCATTTTTTGCGAGGATGGTTTCTTCTCAAATTACCAACTTTTGCTAAAATGCGTATGAGTAAAATATGGTTAAAATGTAAACTATACTTGAAAAAGGAGTGTACCCTTATCCGGGGGTCATATATCGTGACCTGCAAAAGCGATTTAAGATATCTTGAAAGTTTTTTTTTTTCCTAAATGTCCAATTCGCTCTACCATTTTGCACCCTTTATATTCAGTATTTCACTGATTGCAATTCCAATGAATTGCATTTTGAGTTCTCATTGGGCGGATTATTGTAATATGAAAGAAATAGGTCCACATATAAGGGTTATACCAAAGCATGGTCCTATTCTTATAATTATTTGAAAAAATGTGTTGTTCTTCTTAAAATCTCAAATTACCAACATTTGATATACATCTGATATATATTTTGAACAACTGATTATTCATGAAACCCCTAGGAAAAATTTAAAACTCTATGGTAACTTTTGCGAAGTATAGAGCAAAATATTTGAGGCCCTTTGTGTTTGGTTAAACTATATAAAATGGACCCTAAAAACGTTTGATCCCCCCTTTTTGGGATTGTTATGTACCAACCAAACTGACTACTGATGATAGCGCATAGTCACCGTATAACGTTTCATGGGAGTTAAGGTTTCGGAAGAATTTTCCGAGGAAATGTATCCTTTTCTTTCCAAATTTTCAATTTGCTCCACTATTTTATATAGTTCGCATATAACAGTGCTCTTCATATTCGGTATTTCACTGGTTGCAGTCCCAATGAATTTCGCATTTTAAGTTCTCATTGGATGGATTATTTCCATATCTAGTCAATTTCCATTGATTTTTTTTCGATTTTTCCCGATTTGAGCATTTTTGCCATTACATCTCTTTTATCGTGTTTTTAGCGATTTTGAAAAAGTAATTATCTTTTAACATTGGTCTAACCGCGTTAAGTTATTTCGATATCATTTGACTGACTTCCATGCAACCCGCCATCAATTTCAGTTCTCAAGAAATCAAGTCAATTAAATAAGTTGGTATTAATATTCGAATTAAAAAAAAATATAAAAAAAACACTACAAATGTACATTAGAAGAAAGTAAGTCAAAATGGAAAAAAATCATGCAAAATAAAACATTACTATTGTACATTTCAAAAGTCAAAATGAAAATGTTAATATATCACATTTTTACGCGATTTTTTTGGATATTATCCTTTTCGGAAAAGAGACAATTCCGAATTTGTTTGAATCGTTAAAATCTGTCCAGCGGTTCTTAAGTTATAAGCGTAGTAACTAACACAACTTCCTTTTATATATATAGATATAAAACTTCTAACTAAACATAAATATGATGTTTAATTTTTTTAAACAACAATTATTTACATCGTTAAGTTCGTCCGGGTCGAAATTTTGAAGTCCTCCACATGGGTAGGCCTAAATTGTAGTTGATGTAAAATCCTTCAAAAATCCTTTGTCATAGAAGTTATTTTTAAAATAACTTCTGGGGAGAATATCCCAGATAAAAAACAAGGGAACTGATGAGAATTGGTGGATCTTTCCGAAACCTAGGTATTCCCTGCCTCACCCCCTGGTAAACATTACCACCGTTCTCCACTAATAAACAAACGTTGTTTTTATAAGAACAACAATAAAGGGATAAAGCCTGACCATTTTTCAACAACAAAATACTACGGTATCCAGAACAAACAAGCCAACACTGTTCTATTAGAAATTTATATAAAACACGGAGACATCTGCTCGGACATAGGAAAACGTAGGCGGAACTTTCGAAATTTTACACGAAAACCTTGGCCAACTTTGAAGAATTTTGGCGAGAATATGTTCAACTTGGCAATAATTTAAATTTTCAAGTGAAATCACACCCCTCGAATAGAATAGATATATTGGACTCATATCAAAGTTTGAACTAAGAATATAATTTTCTAGGTCGGATTCTCAACTACCGACAACCAAAAATGCCAAATTGCGACTGAGACCTTTAAAGTATCGAAAATGAAGGTTATATCAAATGGTGGATCTACGATGTTGGTTTTCTGCAAATTATGTTTATATTTTCTGGGAACCTAAATCGGCTAATAACAGCATACTTTCTTCCAAGTTATTTGAAATATTCAAACTCTTTTAAATCGGAAGGTATGGGATCTATTTCCAATAGAATATCAATGCTGTAAAGGATGATGAAAGCTCACTCACTTTTCGTATTTTTTTTCACTTTCCCTCAATTATTAAAGGGTCGAATATCTTATGGTACAATTATGTATAGCCAATTTTCAGCCGAAGAAGGTGCGAAACACAAACACCAAATTCGAGATAATTGTTGAAAAATATAACTAAAATCGGTTAAAAGCCGAATATTAGAAGGTACTATAATATGGGGGATATACAAAAATGTGAACGTATACAGGTCGTAGAAAGCGGGATATTTGGAGGAATTCCATTGAAAATTTGGACACATCAAAATACCGAATATCGTTAGGTTATATACGGGGGTCATATGCAAATATTGACCTGTCTGGACCTGTGTAGATATGTTTCTTTCAGAGTAGAAAAAGGACCTATTGTGAACACTAAGTACTAATTTTGTAACCATTCCATTAAAAATTGTAGCCAACATCAGAAAAATACCGAGGTGGCGAGGTTCCATTATATGGAGCTTCATATAGGCATGGACGGATACAGGTAATTTTCTGTCATAGGAAAAAATACCCATTACGAATTCAAAATACCAAATTTTAAACAATTCCTGTGAAAAATGGACACAAATCATCAAGTGCATATCGGAAGGTACAGTTATGTACAAAAACTTGAACTTATATGGACAGTTTACTGCAAGAATGTTTTCTTCGTACTTGGGCTATAAACTGTCAATTTACGATAAATCCATTTTAAATTTTTGAATAAAACATATAAAATATTGTACATCTGGCGGTGCTGTTTTATGGGCTCTATATCAATACCTATATGCCCCACTTCCAATACCAAAAATTCTACGGACCTAAAACACATTTGAGTGAAATTGTATAGACCAACTTTATTTCGTTTGGAAGTTAGAGTGATTCTCAGAGAGGGACATACAGAGAGCCATATGGCGGATATGACTAGGTATGTTGAAAATATTGATAATTTGAGGGGAAGGTAAATTTGGTAGTCTCTGCCAAAATTCATCCCATTTGGGTTAATATTACGCATTTGGTGAATAACATACATGAAATCGAATCTCGATAAAATATCTGAGCTGTATCTGATATCTGACATCAAATATTATGGTTGTGGGGTGCATATTACGAATGTCGGATGAAATATATATGAGATATATTTGAACCGAGTTTCAAATTTAAAGTAATTGCTTCTGGGCTGAATTCGATTGGATGTGACGAAATCCATTCAGTTTCGAATATTACACATATGGTGCACAATAAAATTTAAAACGGATGTAAATATATATGGGAACTGATATCCACCAAAACTTGCCGGACATACATCTGTACCGAACCTACTAAAATTCATTAGATTCGAACTGATATTACGGATTTGGTGCACAATACGTATTATATCGTACCACACTATATATTGAAGCTATATTCAAATCAGATCCGATTATCACCAATTCCAATAGGGTTGGTCCTTGGAAAGGAAAAAATCTCCAAACAATTGATTTAATATAAATATGTTGTAGGAAGTAAAAATTAATAAATTCCTATCTTTTTATTTCGTTTGTTTACCGACGCAGAGATTCGAACCAGCTGTGTTGCTGTTACTTATTACATGGAAATATAGAAGTAGTTATATCTCTCTTGTAAACTTTATAAGATTAAATCTTTACTTTTTGGGGTGCTAAAAGTGGCACATGATTATTGCTGGGACGAAAGGGAGAGGGCCATCAAAAAACTGCATAAGTTCATTTTATGTTCGCTCTAGGGAATGCCTTTTCTTTCCATCCTCATGTAAAGTCCTTTAGAAAACTTTTGGAAGATCAACCATCGAAAAAGCCATTAGACCACTAAAATTCCGTATATCTATGATAAATCTTGGAGAGTTTTACTGTGTATTAAGAGAAAATGGTCAATGAGTTAGGCATGGATCGACTTGATTGGCCTCCGAAAGTCAAGGACAAGATTTCTGTGAAGTTATGGCTGCTCACATCCGGTGGAGTGATTTTAATTTTAAGACAATCCTTAAAAAGTCGTTAAAATCAAAAACATTTTTTGCTGCAAGACGGTTATAAGCGTAGGCTATGTGTATACTTTATCCTCAGATAATGACTAAACTTCTTCTTCAATTTATTTGCTCTCTCTAAACGGTGTAAATAAACCCTTGGCCCGACCACAAATTTTGAATTGGATTGTGCATATACAGTAAAAACGAATTGCAATCTTAATTAAAGAAGAAGTTCCGCATGTCGTGCTAACCACATTGACTTAACAAATTGAGTAAAATAAAACTGGTGCAAGGGAATATTTCAACATGAAAAAGTTCTGAGTTAAAGATTGTGACCCAATCTGCAAGGAAACTTCAAATGGAACATTTGTTTCCACATTGAACTGTTTTGCAAATATTTAAATAATTTGTGCATTAAACCATTATTCCCCATTGTGTAAAAAATGGAGGCTAGGTTCTACTCGAAGTGAATTTTCTTAATTCAATACCCAAGGTACACTTCTCAATAAAACAATAAAATAAAAATAAATATACAAGAAAAAAATCTTTAAGTTCGGCCGGACCGAACTTTGAATACCCTCCACCATTTGGAACGAATTTGGCAATTCTCGAAATCAATAAAATCCGTTAAAAATTCTGTTAAAATCTTAAAAGTACCAAATGTAGCTGTTATATTAGGGTCTATACGACGACGTGGATCTGCATAGGTAACATTTGTCTCAAGCCATTACAATATTCAAATGCGAAACTTAAAAAAATCGGTAATAATGTAGATTAAATCATCAAAAAACTGAATATCGAGAGGTATCGTTATATGGGGGGTTAGACGAAAACGTGGACCTGCCCAGACAATTTTCTGTCTTAGGCTGTAGTCTCCGTTTCGAACTTCAAATACCAAATTTGAAACAATTCCAGTGAATAAATTCGCTAAAATCATCAAAATACCCAATTTCGGGAGGTGCCGTTATATGGGGGCTACACCATGGCATACATGGCCCATTTTCAATACCAAAAGTCCTGCAGACATAACATACATTTGAGTAAAATTTTATCAATCTACTTCAATTCGTTCGGCAGCTAGAGTGATTTCCACAGACGGATAGACCGACAGACGGACGGACATCGCTAAATCGACGTAGAATTTTATGCTGATCAAGAATATATATACTTTGTGGTGTCTAAAATGTGTATTCCGAGGCTATAGTGGAGTGTATAAAAAATAGAAAAAAGTTGAGTGCAAAAACATCTCACTTCCTGTGTGTCTATTTTGTAAATGTGCCAACCACATCCCATTTTCTCATCAACTCTTCAGGGTGTGTAATAAATTTCTCCACCTCATTTCCTCAAACAATAAATTTCTATTTTTTATTCAACTTAAAACTTTAACAACTACAACAACAACACCATTACAAAAGCACTCTCGTTTTTTTTTTTTCAATTATTTTGAAAAATTCCAATAATTGACATTGGATTTTCAATAATCCCGATAATCTTCCGAATAATCATCGTATTCTTCGTGGCGATCTTCCTCGGGTCGTAATTTCAGGCTCTGGCCATTGAAATAGTTGGCATGGCGACGGAAAAGCTTCAACATTCGATATGTGTCAATGCCTGCATCTGGGATTTTTGTTGAGGCGAAATAGGTAGTGTGTCAATGTTGGGTTTCGTTTTTGTTTGTTTGTTTGGTTTGTGTGGGAAAATTGCAGTTTGTTTTTGTTGGATATGGAAAAAAAAGAGAGAAGAGAACAATACAAAACAATTATTTAATTGTTTGCTTGTTATTAGCAATATTTAACACACAATTTATTTGTGTGTACGTTTTTTGCAAAAATTGAAAACAACAAAAGAAAAGCAGCTAAGGTGGTGATCTATGAGTATTCGTTCAGAGGTGGTAATCTTGGTTGTTGTTGTGGTGGTGGTTTGTGGGGAGAGGGGAACCTAATTCATTGCAGTTCAATTGTGTGTTGGGGGCAAAAAGGCAAAGTGACACTGTTGCTTTTGTTGTTGATTCTAAAAGCCAACTACTGTTGCAGTAACATACTACAAACGTATATGGGTTATATTCCCCCCATGAAGTGCTTAAGGGTGCAGGCGGGAAAACATTTTTTCTGTTGCCTCAAAAGGGACAATTCTACATTTATTTATGATTATGAGTATTTTTTATTAATAATACTTACCATATGGAGCAGGCGCTGGTGCCACATACACGGGCGCTTGGGCCACATGTTTGTAGGCTGGTTGATAGGCCACCACAGGCTTGGCTGCTACCGCAACTGGGGCCACATGGGCCACAGGAGCCACCGCAGCCACTGGCTTGGCCACAACAGCCTGAGCGTGAACGGTGGGTCCTGATTTGGTTACAACGGCGTTGAAACCATTTATCGAATCGGCCGTGTAGTCAACGGTACGTATGGAACCATCGGGTTCTACCAGAGAATATTGACCTGAAAAATAAAAGTGTTGATTAGGAAATATTCTTTTGAGATATAAGGAGAGGTGGGGTATGGTATTATACCTTTAACTACATCACCATCACGGGTTTCGTGTTGCGATTTGACATCGCCAGTTGTGTGATCAGCAACACCATAATTGAAGGCATATTTAGGATGATCCTGGAAACAAAAATGAAATGTTTTAGTTATTTTAAATAATTCATTTGTTTTTTAGAAAGGTGTGTCCTTCTATGTTAGAATTTATTCTACAAAATTTTTGAGTCTACATTTTTGTTAGGTAAAATATGAAAAAAAAATATTTTTTTTATAAAATGAAATATTTTCAGATTTTCTTTTTAAAAAAGTTATTGATTTCAAATATTCAAATGTATATAGTATTTAATTTAATAAGGCCATATTTGAATTTGCCTTATACCACCTCTTAACTCAAAGGTAGGCTACATGTCAGGGAGCAGCATATAGAAAATGAAGGACGTGGGTGGATGGCACAATTGGTTAACTGTAAACTCGTGCTGAATAATCAGTCCATCAGAAACGGTGTATGAAATTTGGTCCAACGAGAATTTATTGTGATGTGGTCAAATGTAGCAAAAATTGGTCTAGGAGAATGCATTATAAAAATAATTGTCAAAGGATGAAAACAACGAAACTTTTTCATTCGATAGGTTCGTGCGTAGCAGAGGCTCAATTCATATTCTATGAAACTGTGAAAGAAAAACGTTGATAAGAAAAAATATGTTACACAAAAAATTTATAAAAAAATAATTTTCTTTTCTAATTTTTATAGAATACGAATCCGAATACGAGTGACAAAAATGTTTCGAATAGAATTATAAGTTAATAATGGGCCAAACTAATTGAAAGGAATTATAAAAGACATCATGAATTTAATTAGTCAAATTCATTAAGAAAGTAGTTGTACCAGATTCGATTCGGTATCAAAACGAGACTCTACAACTGAGTTAGAAAAGAAACAATGAGGTTTTTTTTTTTTTTTTTTGAGAAGATGTTAGCGAATAAATAGAAGGCCCAGTTGAAGAAGTATGCATGTAAACAAATGACAGAGAAATACCAAAAATAAGATGACAATTTGAATATTCAGCCATGAATTAAATACTTAAATTGAGGCCAAATCCACCAATGTTGCCATGAAAGTCGGGGATACCGGTCCCTCTATAAAGACAAATTTGTATAGACTTTTACTCAACTCCTCCTTTGAAATAGATTTGAAGGACACTTTAGCAGTCCTCAAAATCCCTAAAATTTTGGGATAGCGTTATTTGGTCGAGGTTAATACTGAATATTTTGCCAACATTTTCCTAAAGGTCAAAAAACTGAAAATACTATATTATGTCCACTTCAGTTGGAAAACTTCACAAGGATCTTCAGATCACCAATTGTTTAAAAATTATTGTTCCATAATATAAAATTGCAGCCTCTTCGGTTATTAGAGCAAAACTTGATAAAATAGTGGCATTTTTTCGTAGGTCGAATTTTGAATCTTTCACATTTGTATATAATAACTATTGAAATTCGAAATAACAGGGGGCATGGTAAAAAATTGTCCTACTCTGACCTTTTCTGCCAGAAGAGTTTACATTTATATCCTCTAAGAATTTGAAATAACAAATACGATTGTTTTTTCGAAAAAAAAAGAAAACTTTGATATACTCTAAATTCAAAAATATCTTTATAAAGTTGCCTTGTCATATAGAGAACCATGAATGCAAATTTTTTGCGCAAAAAGGATTCAATATTGTTAAAATCTTAAATGTCAAATCGCAGATCATTTTGTTGGTAATTGTGTCTGAAATAATAATACTGAAAATTGAGTTTTTTTTTTCAATTTGAGAGGTTGTATTTAATTGTCGTCTGATATAACTCATTTTCAATGCCTATAATCCTAGACTTAATAAACAAGAAGTATCGATCCACTACTGATGGCAGAAGAAATTTGGTAATTCTTTTAACTCAATGTTAAATGTTAAAGATGTATACCCTCAGCCAATGTTTTACAATTTAAATATATTTAGACTTGCATTATGCTTATACAAACTGCTGAACCATTATGGGGAGGTGGTTTTGAAGAAGTGTGCCAATATCGTCCATATCGTATTTGATTTAAGTCTGATATGACAGTGGGTCAGATTTGGACTATATCGACTACTTGTGTTTATTTATTTCCAATTTTATGCAAATAGTTGTAAGTCAAAAATTTGTGGCGAAAGTATCAGAAGGATTGTGTCGTTACATTCCATATTCACATCAGATCTCTGATTGAGACAAGTATTTAGATACATCAAGTTTTTAAAAGAATAGGTGACTTGAAGAGAATCGGATGGTCATATCGCGTTTTATAAGCGTCTTGGGTATTTAAAATGTTGACCCTTTATGGGGGCGTTACAAGAAGGAGTGGGCCAATATTTACAATCTTCACACCAGATCTTGTATTAATAAATGTTTTAGGATGTGTGAAATGTGAAGAGAATCGGATGCATTAATTCGTATTTTCTAAGAATTATTATTATTCAAAATTTTGACAAAATTTGTTGGTAGAAATTTTAGGATTTCTCAATTAAAAGACAATCGGACTCTTATTTCACATATTATAAGAGTTATTATTATTAAAAATGTTGACTTTTTGTAGGGGGAGATAGACCATTATTGTGCATTTTCGTACCAGATATAGCAATGATACGAAAATTTGGGATTTACAAAGTTTGCACAAAATAGGGTTGTCTTTTTTTTATACGTTTAATTATTTTATATAAAAATGTTGAGCTTTTTTGGGTAAGGTACCAGAAGGAATGGACCTATATTGGCCATCTCCATCTCTTGGTTTGATAATGACATTACGATGTTCCAAGTTTGGATCAAATCGAATACTGCCTTCGAGAGTTATCGTGCGCGCCAGTCATCCGGCCGGCCTGACGAACGGACGGATAAACCTAGATCGCCTCCAAATGTCCTAAAACGGATTTGGTCCAAAGACACCTAGGGAGAAAGGCGATGGCCGTATCAAATAGTATATGCCCTCTGTAACCATGTGGATGAGGATAAAAAAAAACTGAAGGGAAACGCAAGAAAGATTTGATAAATCTAGCTCATCCTCATAATTTTTTGAGAAACAGACTTAGCAGAAATTTTGACTGATGACAAGGAGATCACCAACAGAATCTATCCTAAACTGACTGATGTCGATGTATTTGCTCTAAATGCTCTGGAGCAGTTTTTATCAAACACATATTTCAGATACATATACCTTCTCTGAGAAATAAGGGCATAAAATTATTTATTTCTGTAGTTCCAAAGACTGAATCATATTCTATGGCATTTTTCACCCCCCATCACAGGATTTTTATTCACACAAACAAGGACGTTTGCATTTTTTGTACAATTTGACGAATTTCATCTTCAACACTTCCCTCAAGATGAAAATCATCGAAGTTCGAAATATTGGAAAATAAGACCCCAAGCTCGAACAACACTTAAAAATATTGAAAGGTCGAAAAAAGTAAAAATAAATTTGATATTTCTTAAATTGTTACCCGGCTTAGATCATAACCCTAAAATAAAAATAACCAAAAAAGGATGACTATTACTGATTCGGGACTTATAACTGAGGGGTTTTTAGAAGGCCAAATGACAACTAAATTGGTCGGCAATTTTGATAGAAGTTATTAAAAATATGTCCTTAGCAGTTCAGTGTGGGGCCGACTGTCTAATTATAATTTTCAGATATAACTTCCAAATTTTATATATGGAAGGTAAGAGCCTGTTTATTGGATTTGGCGTGAGGCCAAAGGGGCTCCAAAGGATGTAAGGTCAAGCAAATGGGATTAAAAAATCGATTTTGTTCTCTAAGGGGTTTGACTTCCACGCTACAATGAAACTGCTAGAAAAAGTAAAACAAAAGTCCAAGTCACTTTAAAAAAAAATGACGATAACCAATTAAATTTTGAGATATCGACAATTTCAATTTATACTCAACTATAATTAAATTTTATCATTCGAAGTGGTCAAAATATTCTATAAAATTATCCATGTTTCTTAATAAGAACAAAGTTGTATGTTATTTTTTAAGGACGAGATGTGTGTCAATTTTTACGCAGCACAAATTCTGGCATTCTGGTACTTCTCGGCATAACAGTTATGTCAATTACTAGTTTCCAGGAGGTAAAAAATGGTATAATTTAGTGTTCAAATGAGCTTTTTTAATATTTTATTTTAGCTTAAAAAGGTTCACTTTATTATATGAGTCTTGTTCGTAGGTATTTTCTTTCAAAGATATCATATTGGACGATGTTACCAAGTTGAATATTCATGTTTCCACATTTATCAAAATTTACAAATTTTTAGTCCTTTTTTTTAAATTTTGTTATTTTGAAATACATATTTTTCACTCACATAATAATCAACCGCATAACCTGGTCGTGCATTAACCATGGAAGCACTTAGCACCACAGAAAGGATAACAATTTTGCTGATGGGCGACATTTTTTTTGTTGTGATTAATTTTTTTATTCGTTGAAGCTTTTACAAAATATGAAATCGTTTTCTGAAACACAAACACAAATATTATAATTTTTCAAATTATTTTGCAAAATCACTATTTTCTTAAAAATAAACTTGTAATAAAGTGTAAAAATATTACTTCAAGTATTTCGTTGGCACCGTTTTGAACACTTTGAATTTGCCCGGAATACTGTAACAATTCTAAGATCAAGTTTGCATTTTATACCCCCAAACAAAACCCCAAGCAGCATAAAACCTCATCATATCCCACGCACACATATAAACAAAATTTAACTCTTGCTTTCCAACACACATGACATACGAGTATGTATGTATGTGTGTGTGTGTGTGTGTTTTTGCATTGAATGAGTAAAAATGCCAGAAGCTAACTGCCGGCTTCTATTGCTGCCACTGGCAAAAATTCAGAGAACCATGACGCACATAGCTCTGTGTAAAAGTTAACAATAGAGGGCTTAAATGAACAAAAGAAAAAACAAGCAAATGAGTAAGTGAGGTGTAACAGACAAAAAAGAGTGGAGATCCATTGGTTCTCTTATGATTCACATTGTTGTCGTTTGAATTCAGCAGTTGTCAGTAAGAGAATGTTTCAGTTTCGCATTAGGCGGCAAAGAGTCTGGTAGTTTGGTGTATATTTTTTGAAAGAAGGATTGACAAAAATTGGAAATAATTAAATGAGAATTTAATTTTTGATAAAATCCAAAAATATTGTTGCTCTCATGGTTTCACTGGAATACCACCAGGATGTTTGTGTCTTAAGTCTTTTGTTTTTAATGGGAAAATTAGATATTGAATTAACACAGTTTATCTAAAGGTTAAAGTTTAATATAAATGGGACTTTTTATGAGACTAGTAACAATACTTGTTTTGTTTTGAATTTCTTTCATGTACTTTTACTTTTTTCAGATTGAGTCGACTGGAATGTAACGAAAGTGCTGGTCCACTACAAATAGTATCAAGGTTAGGGTGTTATACTTTCATTGTTCATTGACAAACTGGCATTCCATCATTATTACTCGTTCTATCGACAGTTATGTATATTCTGCAAAAAAAAATCGAATGACCAATTGTGCGTTGTAATAAGCATTAGTACATTTAAGTAAAAATAGAACAATAAACTGGTTAGGTGTAATAATACGCTCTAGGGGAAAGATAATATCAATATTTAAGAATTTGGGTAACGACAAAATAGATAAAGATATATACACTAATTTCCTTACAATGACTATTTAATAACTTTCCATATACAAGTTACTGGGTTTATTATTTAGTACTTTCTGTCAATCATGTTTTATCATATTATCCAGACTGACACTCATAATTAAAACAAGTAAGCAGAGGCTAAAGTCGTGCGGGGCCGACTATGTGATACCCTACAACACCACAATATGATAGAAGCCCCCTTATGTCCAAATCCATTTTGGAAGATTTCGATTTTGAAATTATGCTGTTAGTTGTTGTCGTCCATTTACAGCTGAACATAATCCAATGGTCATCCAAAATGTTAGACTTTTTTCCTGTCCTTAACTCTCTTCTCAGGCGTGTCGATTGACTTCAATTGTGTGATCAGGAACATTTTTCTCTGTTTTTGGTTCATTTGAACCCCTAAATATTTTGCGATCATCTTCAAAAGCAAGAGGCCCCTTAATATATATCTCCAAATCTAGACTAATCTATATGATTTTCTTGTCTACGATATTTGGCTATATTCGTCCACGAAATCAGCTTTAGAAAGCCAGAAGTTCGCCTTTTGTGTATTTCGAATATCGCCTGTAAGTAGTGTTGGTATTTTTTCACACAAAAGTAGTGGTCCATTCTATCCTCAGTCCTAACTCTAACTTCATGCGAGATTTCGTGTCTTTTGGTTTCTATTTGTGACCTTTATAACGGCTGCAAAATCAAGAATATTTTTAATTGTTGGTCCATTTCAACCTCTAAATATATTTGCGGACATCTTTGAAAACGATACACCTAGCCCTCCTGAGCCTAATCCTACCCTTGTGAAAATTTTCGTGAGGATCGGACTATAATTGAAATCTGTATATAATAACCCCAATCTGTGTTGTAAAGTGCAAAAATATTACAAAATATACCCTACAGTATTATAGGTCAAATTGAAAAAATCGCATGCGATAAAAAATATGAAAAAATAAATATATGTCACAAAATACTACAAAATCTATATTAACATCGTTATTGGCATCTTTTTATGTGATTCTTTTAGATTTTATATTTTTATGCCAAAAAGGCATTACAAAATTTGTCGAAATCGCTCCAGCCATTTTGGAGATATAAGCATTCTAGCTAACTTCCCCTATATATTTCGCTATATATATCCGATATTTTTACTATCGGCATCTACGTAACGGTCAGAATTGACCTGTTCGTCTATTTGTGGTTTCGCCGGCATTAAAAACGATTTAATGGAAAATTTGACTTTTATTTACACATTTATCCACGAAATTATGTAAAATTTGGTTTTTAAGACTCGCAATAAATTACAATCGTTGTAGTATAAAATTGTCTATATAGGCTCCCGTTTTAGTATGACCTCCATATAACGGCTCAAACCGACCTTACTGTAGTTTGTACTTCAAAGTGGGACACGTTTGAATCCAAATACTTTTGCTTAAAAATGTTTTCTTTACCCAATGGTGGAGAGTATTAGACGTTCGACCTGCATGTTCAAGATGTTAAATTTTTTCAATAAATAGGGGAAAAATCCAGCAGATTATTAAAGTAGAGCTAAAAAAGAAGACACGTGTATCGCCGTTTTCAAAATTTACATCACAAAATAACGTAAATAGAGGGGACTAGTTCCTCCCTCTTCAATGCTTTTGGAAATTTTCGGAATAAGATTATTTAAAATCCGTGCATTTTAAGTAGAAGAATATTTTGTTAACACCTCGAGTGTGTGAATAAAGTTGTCTTTTTAGTCCCATAGTTAGAAAATCTTTTTAAACGAGATCGTAACAAGTCAAATTATTCCAAAAGTTGTTTGTCATAATATTCTATTATAGGTCCTAGAAGACGTCAAGGGTCAAAAACACGTCACCAAAGAAAAGAAATCTCTATTTCCATTGCATACAAAGATATGTTTGCATCAATGTTCCGAAAAAATCCCGAAAATATTTCGTAATTTTTTCATAATTTTTTGATGACTGAAAGTAACCCTCAGCCAATGTTCGATTATTTAAATACATTTTGACTTCTGATATGATTTTTCAAATGTTTGACCCTTTATGGCGTAGGTTCCGAAGGAATGGGCCAATATTGTCCATTTCGTATCGGACTTTAATAAATATGATATAAATATTGGTACGTGCCAAGCTTGGACTATATTGGTTACTCCCTCACTTTCTATGAGATATCTGATAATTTTTATAAAATGTTAAAATGTGCGTGAGATACCCGATATAGTCGACCGAAGTATTCCATTTTCATGCTTCATCAAATACAAATAAAAATATTGGTATGGACAAAGTTACAAGAAAATCCAACATTTTTATACAATTCTATGCGAAACATAAATTCCATATTCATCTCAGGTTTTAGGTTGAGAGAAATATTTAGATATAGCAAGTTGTAAAGAATCGTTGACTTGTTTTGCAAGTTATGACAGATAAAAGTATTGAAAATTGTGACTCTTTGTGGGTGAGGTACCAGAAGGGGTTCACAAATATATATAATCTTCGGAACAGATCTTGTATTAGCAACAATGTTCGTGTGTGTGAAATTTGAGGAGAGTTGGATGCTTTCTTTGGGCATCTTGTTTTTCAAAATCTTGAATCGTATGTGGTGGAGGTACCAGAAGGAGTGGACTGATATATCCCATCATCACCGCAGATCTTGTGTTAACAGAAACAATGGTATGTGTGATATACGAAGAGAACCGAATCGTTTTGGTTATTCTCAACTTTGACCCTTTGAGGGGGAGATACCAGAAAGAATGGTCCGATCTCTACCATTTTTATTACAAATCCTGTATTGCTGGAAATATGGATATGTACCAAGTATGAATGGAATTGAATGTTAGTTTTATGAATTTTTTTGGATATTGAAAATTTTGACCCTTTGTGGGAAGGTCACAGAAGGATTGGGCCATCTTCACCGCAGATCTTGTGTTAGATGTGTGAAATATGAAGAGAACCGGATGCTTACTTCGGATTTTATAATCGTTTTGGTTATTTAAAATTTGGACCCTTTTTGGGGGAGGTACCACAAGGAATTGTCCGATCTCTACCACCTTTATAACAGAACTTGTGTTGATGAAAATATTGAGATGTGTCAAGTCTGAACGGAATCGGATGTTAATTTCGTGTTTTATGAACTTCATGAATGTTCAAAATTTTCACCCTTTGTGAGGGGAGGTACCAGAAGGAGTGAAGCAATATAATCCATTTTCACATCAGACCTTGGGTTAATAAAAATATTGTGATGTATGTAATTTGAAGACAATCGGTCTATTTCATCACATTTTATAAGAGTTATAGTTATTCATAATTTTGAACCTTTGGGGGAAGGTATTTAGTGGATTAGACCGATATTGTCAATTTTCGCACATGATGTAGCACTGATGGAAATATTAGAATTTGCAAAGACGGAGCAAAATCGGATCGTCCTTTCTCTTTCCGTGCAGCATTTTTTTTTTTTTTTTGAAGTTTTCGACTTTTTGTGGGTGTGTTACTAGAAGGAGTTGACCGATGTTGCCCATCTCCGAAATCGATATTGATCCGAACTCGATCAATAATAATATATATTTTTTACGTACGCTCCATCTAGAAAGACATCGCTAGATCGACTCCAGAAATCCTCAAATGGATTTAGTCCAAAGAGTCCTAGAGTCTAAAATCGTTATTTCGATGAGGCATTTGTTGCCCTATCGAATTATATATATATCCTCTCTAGACATATAGCTGAGGTTACACAAAATTTGGAAGTAGGTTGTACTTTAGGTAACCTTTCAAAACTTCAATACACTGGCTTTAATATAATTTACATTAAAAACTAATAGCCCATAATAATATCGATCATCTTTATAGATATAGCTCTTGTATTTTGTTTTAATCATGTCTTTGATCCGCCAAAAACAATATTACTTAAATACAATTATGTGCCTCATCAACAAATAAATGATATAGATTACATTCAAACACATTTCATTGCCTCA